ACCTCCTCACGAGAGGTGAGCTTTCACCCTGGCTGGTGTGGCTCAGTGGAGTGAGCTGGCCTGCGAAGCAAAGGGTCTCCGGTTCGATTCCCAGTCAGGGCACATGCCTGGGTTGTGGGGCAGGTCCCCAGCAGGGGGTGTGTAAGAGGCAACCACACATTGATGTTTCCCTCCCTTTCTCCTTCCCTTCCTCTCTGTGAAAATTAATAAATCTTTAAAAGAAAGAGAGAGAAAGGTGAGCTTTCTGAGACATCAGCCAGATCCTGTCACTGAGCTCAGAAGCCTTCAGCCCTCTCGCTGTTCCTTTCCCAAGGGCACAGTGACAACTGTGGCTGCTACCCGGCCCTGGCTCACAATCCGGGCCATCTCCTCCTCTCGGTGAAGCCCCTGGCCTCCTCACCCTGGACCTGCTAGAGGAGTGCGAGGACACCGGTCAAGGTTACCTCCAAGTTCCCACAGCAGGCAGTGGCCTCCTGGAGTCCCAACTGCCTGCCTGGCCACCTCACCCAGGGAGGGGGCACCCAAGTCCCCCGGTCAACTATTCGGACCAAAAAGCAGCGGCTCCCAGGTGCCCGGGGAGCAGACGTGCTCTGGGCAGGAAAGGGCCGGACGACAGGCCGGGGTGATGCTCGGGCGTCAGACAGACTTGGGTTTGACTCTGGCTCCACGACTCTCTAACCGCATTGAGGTTTTAGCCTCTTGTTGCCTCAGTTTCCCCAGTCATAAAGCGGGGCTGACACTAATAGCAGTATCTACTTCAAGGGGCTTTGTAAAGATCGAATGAGCTGAGCATGGTAAACTGCCAGCCTGGGGGGCCGGCACCTGGTCCCCTACTATCGAATCAGAACAGGACATTAGAATGAGTCGTGTGGAGCCACCAATTATTGTAACAGGGTGCGGCCAAGAGGGGAGCCTCAAATAGGGATCTGTAACAGGGTCAAGAAGAGCCTGGAGATAATTGGCTCCACACCACAGGGCCACACCTGCCCAGAATCTGGCAGCTGTGGCCAATTGTGAGAGGAGCCGGCAATGGGGCTGCAGAGGAAGATGGGCGCTGGGATTTGAACCGAGACGCGGCAGCCATTGGAGGGGGGAGAACCATGCGCAGCCCTACAAGAGAGAACCACACAGCTTTAGCAGAGTGAAGGCTCTCGCGGCCCTGAGGGAGGGAGAACCACGCGGCTCTGGCAGAGTGGGGACTCCCGTGGCCTGGGGAGAGAGGACCACGTGCCTTTGCCAGAGTAGGGACCCCTGCAACTTTAGGCGATACGGTACTCTGGACTGGGCAAAGGGGGAAGGAAGGAAGGACTGTGTCTGTTTGTAGGTGCTTTAGAGGACTTTAGGATTTTTGGTGAAGACATTAGGTCCCTACTTTAAGTTTGTACAGCATTAAATAAACGTTTCCTTTCCTTTTCACAAATCTCTGGCATTGAGAGACATCTTTCCTCTGGCGGCGGACATAACGGACCTGGGGGCTTCTTTATATCGTCTCAGGCCCCCCCTTGTTTGTTCTGTAACATTATCAATGGGGAGCTCCAGTGGCTACGGTTTCTCATTATAAATACCCGTCCCGTTAATAAGAAGAGCAGCCAGAGCCTGGGCAGTCAAAGGCTGGAATGTTCTGTGGCCACATTCTCCAAAGGTGGGGCGGCGGGGGGGGACGGGGGGTGGTTTGCTCCCCTGCATCTCCCAGCACCCTGTGGGGCCACTTTCCCCAGCATAATTAGAGGCCTGTCCAGGGCCCAGGTCGGAGTCCGATCACCCAAACAAACAGGCCTCTCTCCCACCGGGCCGGGCCAGAATAGCGTCTTATGTCACCGATAACCACAGGCCCGCATTGGAGCCATGTTGGTCCAACCAGCGGTGACCTCATTTCCTTAGGTTACAGTCTCACGGGGGGCGGGGGACTGACCCACTTCGGCCACACAACGGCCAGGGCGGGCCAGCTGCTCCGAGAAGGAAAAGAACTGTGACCTTCCCTTCTTCCCGAGCCAGCAGGGCTCTGCAGGGGCGGATGAGCTTCTGAGAGAGGGAAGACACCAAAGGCGCAACCCCTTCCCTCCGGACTTCTCTGGCGTCCTCGGTCCGTACCCCTGCACGCTCCCTTTGGGCAACATCTGTACGGCGGTTACGTGGCCACAGGGACACAGGGGGCGTCAGGGTCGCTGCAGGTCATAAGTGGAGCCTCTGGCCCTGACAGGTCTCTCTTCTCGTCCCCACGCCCCCCTCCCCACCTCCAGCCGCAAGCGCTGCAAACGGCAAAGTGCATGCTAGCCCAGGGCCGGACACAGGCAAACCCTCAATCAATAGCCTTCCATTTTGATTTCTTCCTTCACCCTCATCTTTCTTCCTCTCTAGGGTCCAGGATGCCCCCAGGGGCCAGGAAGAGGAAGTCCCAGGGAGGGGACAGGGTGGGAGGGGCAGGGTAGCGGGAACATTGTGTCATTGGGAAAGGGGAGCCCTGTCTTGGGTACACAGAAGGACCTGTCCAGGCTTGCTAGAGTGCCGCCCCGCCCCCCAGGCGAGGCCCCGCCCACTCCAGATGCAGGCTCTGACGTCCACACTCTCCTGCCTCAGCCCCCCTACCTGGCTGTGGGCTGCGCTGGAGGCTCCTAAAGCTGCCCTCCCAAGGTCAGCAGGAGGCGAGGGAGGCCTGTTCCTAACTCAAGGGAGGGGACCAGGCAATGAGCATTCAGGGGCTCTTACCACTGGGGAGGCCTCCCGACCCCCGAGTGTCAGGTGGGGAGTAAATATGCTGTGAGTAAGTGCGGGAAGAGATAGGAACCTGTCGGCATCAAACGCCACAGTAAGTTCCTCATTTACTTGCACTTCCCGGGGGTTGCGTTCTCACACCTGGAAGTCAGGGCCACCTCCACTGGCCAGAAGGGGCCTCACACCCTTGAGGCGGTCCGGCCCCAGACCGGCGGCATCTCTGAGTGTGCCTCTATCGCGTGCAAGCCCCCCAGCGCACCACACCCCTCCTCCTGCTGCGTCTCTTCGTTCAGAGCCTCACCACGAGCGGCTAGGTTCCAGGGCCGCTGGCCCGCTGACCCCTGGTGTGTCCCCTGCTGCCCTTGTCAGCCCCTCTGAGCACGGAATCACAGAGCAGCGAATAAGGCAGGCCTCGCCCTGGCTCCTGGGGGCTCAGTGCTGAGGGCGATCCCCATTAACACGCAGCTGCATACAGAGCCCCGCCTGACTTGGTTCCTCCTGCTCCGTGCTCTGCGGCCCCCCTCCCACGGCTCCTGCCGCACCAGCTCTCCGTCCGTACCTCACAGGCTCCAGGGAACCCTGCCTCTGGGCCTTCGCACCTGCTAGTGCCCTTGCCTGGGACATGTGAACCCTCCCGCCGGGTGCCCGGGGCGGGGCCAGGGCCCCTCCTTGCTGCCATCACACGTGTACTCCTCTCATCTTGCTCAGAACATGAGGGGCCTGCACCGCACCCCTCCTCCCAGGGAACAGGGGGCAGCCTGGAGAGGCCAGCAGGTGCCTGGCACACGGGTCCTCTGTAACACCAGCGACCCTCACAGCCTCTTACTACTCTCCCTGCTTGCACCGCCAACCCGCGATGGGGTGACCCCTAGACGTGAATGGCCCACGTGTGCGCAGGCGGGAAGACACTTGACTCGGACAGGTCATCCCCCATTGGGGGCTGGGTGTGGAGTGGGACACACAATCCCTTCTCTGACCTCCGCGTGGTTGGGGGTGGGGGAGCAGGTCCTGTCTCGGGAAGCAGCTAAGCCTCCCCAGGCCTGGAAGGGAGTGCGACTCTGATCCACCGTCCCTTGTTTCGCCGGCAAGACTCAGGCCCAGAGAGGTTCAGCAACGTGCGCAGGGTCACACAGGAAAGTGAGCAGAGACCCGGCCCCAGGTTTCCCAGTCCTGGTCCACAGCATTTCCCACCACTCTGTGAGGACCCTGGGGCATGGGTGCCATGGGGATTGAACATGGGAGCAGAGGCACAGGGGAGGCCCACCCTGTCACACCTCGGAGGGCAGGAAGCTACACACAGAAACAGGTTAAAAAGAGGCGAGACCAGTAGGCCTCAGGAGCCACCTCCTGATGGCATGTCATGGACTGCAAGCAAGTGGCCTGCCTGTCTGTCCCTCAGTTTCCTCAACTGTACGGAGGAGACAACTAGCCCTGGGGCCATGGGAGGGTCAAAGGCCGTGACACTCATACAGCGACCAGGCCCATCGGGGACCGAGAGGCTGTGTTTTCAATTTCCTGGTGCCTCGTGGCTGAGGAGGAGGCCAAGAAAACCAAGGAATTCCGTGAGTAAAAGAGAAAATTCCAGTGTTGAGCAGGAGCGCGAGTGGCCAGGGCTCAGCCCCCTGACGACCTTCTCGGCTGCCAACACGGAAACAGAGACCGGGAAGCCTCCCAGCCAAGGCGGTGAGCTGATTCCGTCTCCGAGGGGCGTCCGAGGGGGCGGCGGCTAGATCATCCCACCGGCATCTGGGTTCCGCACGGCCCAGAGGATGTGCTAGGAATCGGGGCGGACTCACAATGCGTCAGTCGCGGCCAGGAAGCCCGCGCCCCCCGAGCGAGTGAGCGTGGGCCTGGGAACAGGACAGGGGGCTTAGCCGAGGGGGCGTGGCCTCTGACGTCAGCGGCCACGCCCCCTCGGATAGGAAGCCGTGCAGTTTCTCCGAACTCGTCCAGCTTTGACAGGGAATGACCCCGGGATGAGTCAGAGGGGGGAAAAAAGCCCCCCTGCCAAACACAGGGACGGCAAAGACAGCAAATGCCTTCTGCCCGTGGGGGGACCAAGGGGGCCTCCCGCAGCACGGAACCGAGTTTCCTCTTCAGCCAGAACAAAGCAGCATTCGCTTCTGCTCTGACTTGAAAACCCTTTTAAGAGGGAGAAGGGCAGCAATGCCACAGGCTTGGAAAGGGAGTTGGAAGGTTCTGAGGTTTCTCTCTGTGTTCAGGCCCCTCCCTCTTCTCATCTGGGAAAGCTCTGGAATGCGCTGTGGGGGTGGGGGGGGGTGACTTACACTTCTGTGGTGATGAATCCAGTGAGCTCCGAGAGGAAGAGGAAGAGGATGAAGAGGCAGCAGCAGATGGAGACTGGAAGGAACAACAGAGAGACGCACCGTAAGGGCGGAGGGCACTGACCGGGGCAGCCAGGCTCTCCCCGGCCCTCCCCGCCCCCTGCCCTCAGGGGAAAGCTGCTTAGAGGGAGGGGGAGAGACCCCCTCACACAGCCCCCAAGGCCCCTGCCTACTCTTGGTCTCAGTGGGAAGCAGCCCTGCACCCAGAAAGGGAGCCTGACCCTCCAGGGGCCGGCCCAACCCTCTTCCAGGGGAGCGGGTTCGAGCCAGGCGGTGGCCACCAAATGTGTTCTGTTTGGCTTGAGTGGGACACATTCTAAAGTACGGAGTCGGCCCTGAACGCCCCGGAGATCCCCCCGAAGTCCGGCCTTCCGGCTGCTGCAGAGCACCCCGGCCCCTGTACCCGCAGGGCTCTGAGCCCACGGGTGTGCCACAGGCCCCACCGTGCCCTCCTGCCTCCCTGCTTCCCAGGCCGAGCGCCTGCTCCGTGTATCACCGCCCCCATGGTGCCACCCACAGCGTGCCCGTGTTCCCATCCAATGTAGGAAAACGAGGACGGCACGCTCTGTGCTTCAAGAGCAGGGACCACTCTTTGTGGACACGGGGAATGGCCCCAGTTGGAAATGCAGAGAGGGGGGCCGGGCTCCAGGGCTGGCCCCTGCACCTGTGGGGAGCTCGGCTGTCTGGCTGCTGCCACTGCTGACGCTCGGCTGTGTGGTCCTGCAGTGGTGCAGGACACAACCAGCGTCCGGGGGTCTGGGCCTCCGGTCACCTCCAGGCCCATCTCCTGACACGCCCCCGACAGCCACACCGAGCCGAGTGCTGGTCCCAAACCGTGCATCCCATTTCGGTCCCTCGGCCTGGACTGGCTTTCCCATCATCCCTCCTCCTCTGCCGTCGCTCTCAGATGTCCCTTCAGTGGGGAAGCCCACCCCATTCCCAGAAGTGGAGCTGGCTCCTCCTTCCTCCCTGTTCCCAGCGTCTGCTGGGACACCCGTCACGTCCAGGGGTTGCCTGTGGCTGTGTCTCTCACTCAACTGACACCCCGGAAGGCAGACACCCCACAGCCCTCTATTAGGCTCCTCATCACAGAGACCTGGAAGGACTGGGTGGTCTGGGGAAGGTGACGTGGCACATGGGTTGACCGTTGGTTTCCTGTAGAGAGAAGGTTCGTTCCCAGCCCCACCCACTCCTTCCGCTACACTCTGGACACCTGGCACCTGGACTGGCCGAGCCACCGGACGGGCGCTGAGACCACTTATATCACCATCATCCCACTTGTATTGTTATTATCAATCTATCTATCTATCTATCAAGACTGGTCAAAGACGCCTTCTGGGTGCAGAGAGCAGAGGATGAGCGTTTCTTGACCACCTACTGTACGCCCTGCTGAGGGAGCACGGACGGACATCTGGTCACTGCACACACCCACGGTTGGGGGGCAGGAGCCCGCGTGAGGGGTGCAGGAACAGAGGCCCAGAGAGGAGGAGGCTGGCCTCGGAGCCACGCCGGGAGGGGATGGGATGGGAACCTGTGCGCTCTGGAGCCGGAGGCCAAACAACAGGTGCCCCAAGAGCTCAGGGTCCAAGCGAAGGGCCCGGGCATGTCCTCAGAGTCCCCTGCCAGCTCCCAAAACCACCCCGAGACACGGGGCTACTAGAGTCCCTTGCCAGGTCCTCCAGTCTCTGAAAGAGCGGCTTGGGGCAGCTCTAAAAGGTTTTCTTTTTGTTTGTTGTTCTTGAAGGGGAAGAGGTAAAATACGCAAGTGGCGAGAAAGGAGTCAGGCTGCATTAAAAGGCACCTGGTGTGCGAGTCTCTCCCTCACTCCTGACCGCAGTCCCCGCCCGGAGGCCGCACTGTCACAGCTCTGTGTCCTTCCCGGTCACTGGATCACAGGCGGGCAGATCCCTTTCTTTCTCTAAGCCAACAGCAGCCTAAGGCGCACACGCCTCCCGCCACGCTCCGCTCCCTACGCAGTCTCTGTCTGCGCAGGCACCACGTCAGCTTGTCCAGGGTGCCCACGTTGGTTCGCTTGTTTGTTTGTGTCTATGGCCCAGAAATGAGTTTTCAAGCGCCTTCCCCAGCTGCCGAGCAAGCCCACTGCAGGAAGGAGTCCCAGTTTCCCGGCGCACGCCCCTCCCCGCATCACCCATGAGCTGCAGTGATGACAGAGCTGCCCCCACACCCGTCACCTGGCCACTGCGCTGTTTCCGAACAGCACCCCATCACAGAGGAACCCGTTCTTCAGCATCGGCTTCCCCCCTCTCACCCCACCCTCAGCCCCAGCAACCCGCAGGGTGCTGCAGTGAGGACCGAGCCCAAAATAAGCAGGCGTTTTTGAAGGTCAGTGCTGACCTAGGTCTATCGGTGTCTCCTAGCTGCCTTCCTTGCCGCCAGCCTGCAAAACGGGTCCCTAAGTTCTCCCTCAGCACAGATCGGAGGTGGACGGACAAGGCCTCTCTCTGAAACCTGCGTGCTTCATTCAAGGCCCCGAGGAAGCCCGGTCAACCCACCCAGTGGACGCCATAAGCCCCAGGCCTGCGCGGCTGGAACCCACGTGTCCAACAGCCCTGACCACTCGAGCTCCCTGTCTGCTCCCCTCACCCTGTCCCCAGACTGGGAGGACACAGACTGCGTCACAGCACCGCCGTGGCCTCAGGGTCCGGCAGGGTACCCGGCTCAGAGGGGACGTGAAATAAATCTTCGCTGAATAAGTGAATGGAAAACGCCAAGGCCAGGTGGGAGGTGTCTCAGCCAGAGAGGCCTTCGGATCCCTGGAGATCGACGAGGGCTTTTCAGTCCATGTTTGGGCAAGAGGCCGAGGCTCTCTCCCCGACTCCAGACTTCCTCGGAGGCTGACTCAGGCCCCGGACAGCAGGAATGCGGCCCCGGGAGGACGCGGGCGAGCGGGCAACCTGGTGCAGCCGGCAGAGGGGCGCCCGGGTCTAAGACCCACGGCCCCGGGGAGTCAGTGAACTTGTCCCAGGCCACAGGGCTGCTTCAGGGGCGGAGGCAGACTCCAAACCCGACCCGTGTCTCCAGGGCCCTCGCCGGCTTCTTCAGTTACTAATAGCGCTTATCACGGGGCACGGGGATGCTTGTGTGTCTGCCGTGGCGCGTGCTTCTGCAGGACGAAGACCGGAGCCCGCTCATCGCCGTGGTCCCAGTCTTGTCACGGGGCCCGGCCCCAAGGACCTGGTTAATAGATATTTGCTCGCTAAATGGAAGCTGAGGGCTGGCACCCAGGCCTCACGCCTTCCCTCCTGCGGAAGGGAGCTGGCTGCCGGGCCCGCTGTGACTGGGACCGCGAACACACCGCATCTTGGAGGGCCGTGGGGGGTACCTGCTAATGTTACAGCATACACGCCCTGTGGCCCAGTAATCCCTCGCCCAGGAAGGTTACCTTATAGAAATAACCCTACCAGGACACAAAGAGAGACGGACAAGGATGTGTGTGATGACAATAAAATGAATTCAGCCCTAGCTGGTGTGGCTCAGTGGATGGAGTGTCAGCTTGCGAATCACAGAGTCGCCGGTTCGAGTCCCAGTCAGGGCACATGCCTGGGTTGTGGGCCAGGTCCAGAGTGGGGGGCACATGAGAGACAACCATGCATTGATGTTTCTCTCCCTTTCTCCCTCCCCTCCCCTCTCTAAAATAAATAAATAAAGTCTTAAGAAAAAACACTTAAGCCCTGGCTGGCATAGCTCAGTGGATTGAACATGGGCTGCGAACCAAAGTGTCGCAGGTTCGATTCCCAGTCAGGGCACATGCCTGGGTTGCAGGCCATGACCCCCACCAACCACACATTGATGTTTCTCTCTCTTTCTCTCTCTTTCTCCCTCCCTTCCCTCTCCAAAAAATAAATAAATAAAATCCTTAAAAAAAAACACTTAAAAACGGAATCAGCAATGTCCACCCTCCGAGGGCTGCTTACATAAACAGTGGGTCACCTGCATAACGTGACAGGACACAGCTGGAAAGAAGAGTGTCGTGGCCAATTATGTGCTGGTGTGAAGGCATCCAGGACCAATCAGCTGAAAGGAAGGCCGGGAAGGTGGCGAGCACCGCCTGCATGCGTCTGTGCTGGGAACAGCGATACACGCGTATCCAAGCCTGACGATATGTTTAAAAAACTCTAGGAGGACGCACATCTGAGAGCTAAACGTGCCGACTCGGGCGAGACTGTGCAGACGGAGAAGGGGCTGGAGCTGTCAGCCGCAGCAGGAAGGGGACAGGCCTGGGGTGAAGTTTTGGGCGCAGGTTCATAACACAGCTGAACAGGTGGACGAATAAGTCCCTCTCCTCCCACATCCCCTGAATATCCTTTCCGTGGGGGCCAAGGCACCAAGCATCGCATCTCCTGCGGTCACAGACCCCCGTGGGCCGTGGGCTCCAGGAGGATGGTGATAAGCAGCAGAGTGTCAGCCAAGCACCGGGGACTCGGCACGTGCCCTGCACTTGATGTCCTTCAACGCCCAGATCAGGGAACTGAGACTCAGAGAGGGCAAGTGACTAGCCCAAGGCTGCCCAGCTGCTACATGGGAGCAGGCACCCAGGCCTGCCAGACCTCAGAACCTGTCCCGGCCCCCAGAGGTGGGGAGACTCAGGACTCGAGAAGGCAGCCACAGCTTCCGTGAGCCGAGCTGCAGGGAGGGAGAGCTGGGCAGGGCCAGCCAGGGTGTGTGTGGGGGGGGTCCCTGAGGCCATCCCTTCACCTGATGACAGCCTGCCCTGGGAGGCCACAGCGGACTCCACCCCACGGGCCTGACCCCAGGGGACAGTCACCCTCCGCACCACACACTGGAAAGGCCCACTGAGCCCCAGTCTGACTCCCTCTCTTCCAAACTGTGACACATCAGGCTAAGCCCGCTTTTCCTCCGAAAAACGAGGCCCAATCACTCCTGCTTGCACAGTTCTTTCGGTTTATTTTGATTTTCCCCCAATAAACTTTTCATTGTGGAGTAATACTGGATACGACGATGGTACAGACAGTTCCCACACGCCCCGCTCCCAGCTTCCCCTTCTGCTAACACATGGTGGGTCTGTCACAGGGAAACAGTGACACGGTCCAGTCCTGTTACTACATAAGCGACTGGCTTAGGTCACCAGCTTCCCCACCGGTGACCTCTGCCTGTGCCGGGAACTGGGCCAGGGCCCCACACTCCACACTCAGCCACCGCCTGTCCTCGGTTTCGAATCTGTGCCGGTCCCTCAGCCTTCCCTCGGTTCTCAGGACCTGGCCCCCTTTGAACAGTCCCCGTGAGGGTCCTGTAGGACGTGCCCCCGTCTGGAGCTGTCAGACGTGTCCTCGTGATCAGACCGACTGGCTGGTGGTCCTGGGGGAGGGTCTCCAGCAGTCAGGTGCCCTCCCCGATGCGTCCCAGCAGGGGGGTGTGACATCATGACATCATCTTTGAGACTTCTCACTGGCTGATCGCCCCCCCCTCCGAAGGTGCTGCTCCAGCACCACCGTAGTCACGGGACTGAAAAGCGCGTCACGGAGGCCAGCCCACACTCCGAAACAGGGGAACTAAGTAAGCGCCAACTCCCGTGCGGGGACGCATTCGTCGACATTGTTTGGAATTCTTCTGCAAGGGAGAGTCAGCCCTTCTTCCCCGTTTGTTTAGATCCGCGTGGACTCACGGGCCTCTCCTCCATGCTCCGGGCGGCCAGCCGACACCCCGTCATCCCTTCTGTGCTTGCACCGCCCCAGCCCTGGCCTCCGGGCTCTGTCGTCCTGGCAGGTTCCCGCGCCCCGCTGGCGCGCCCCATCTGTATTTCTTCCCTCCGGGTTCCTCCGGGCTCCTCCGTGCCCTCTGGCACACAAGATGCCCCCGGCGTGTTTTGTGTCCCCTTCCTGCCCAGCCCCCCGAAACCGGCCATTTCTCCAAGGAGAGCCCCGTCCTTTCATTGAATAGTATTTCGAACCCCAAATCGAAGTGAGATTTTTAGTTTTTTGAATGGTTAGAAGCATGCTTACGTCGAAAGTGCGAACAGTTTCAAAGGCCTGGAGAGAAAAGTCAGGCTCTTCCTGGCCCCTGACCCCCCGAGTCACCTCCCAGGGCAGCCACTACGCGTGACGTCCGGTTGTCCCTCCGGAACCAGGCGCTGCCTGATGCCTTGCAGGTGACGGAGAGGGCAGAGGGGAGACGAGGCTGTAGACCACGGACCACGGGCCTGGCAAGATGCCCACCATCTCTGTCCCCCTCCTGTGTCTCTCTGTCCGCCCTGGCCCAGCAGTTCTACAGGGGGAGTGGGCACAGGGCTGGGGTGGGGAGGAGCAAGGGCAAGACGGGGCTACTCACTAATGGCCCCGGTGTACGTCGGCTGCGTGAGGTCCTTGGGCACCTTCCTGTAGATGTCAAACCTGCAGAGAGCAAAGGGGACAGGGGTGAGGTGGGCACAGAGGGCCGGCCTTGGGCAGCAGGGGACACGGGGTGGCCAGTGAGCCACATGGCTCAGCAAGTCACACCGCTTCCCAGAACCAGCTCCTCCAAGAGGCCTGTGGGACACCCCCTCTGATGGGTCCCCCACAGCCACCCTGCCTTTACCCTTGTCACGCTGGCTCATGACTCTTATTAGCACTGAGAGGCCCTTGACCCTCATCTGGTCTTGCTTCTTAGCTGGCCTTTCCCCATCAGGAGGTCGCCCCCACGAGGGCAGGGACCTGGTGCGGTTTGGCCCCCCTGCCCCGTCCCCAGACCTCAGCACGGGCCTGACGCAGAGTGGGCCCTCAGGAGGCGTTTGTGGAGCACACTGAGCCCCCGAGGGAGTGTGAGGCTTCTCCGGAGGTGAAGGGAGCAGGGAAACGCAGTCTCTCCCGGGTGCCAGGGCGCTCACCCCCAGTCCCAGCTCCCCGCTCCCATGGCCCCTGCAGCCTGCTTCTTACAGATCCTTCTGGACTCCGAGGCACCAGGCTAACCTAAAACCCTGCCGGGGGCCACCGTCTCAGCATCGGGTCGTGATGATGGCTACGGCTCTGTGTGACGGGGGCTCTGGCCCTGGCGCCGAGAGGATGCCTCTCTTTCACAGGGGTCCCAGCGGAGCAGGCACAGGTCGTGGGGTGTGGCGAAAGGACTCGGGGTTGGGGACTCACAGGGATTCCATGGGTTTAAATGTGGCCAGCTGTTTAAGATGCAAGGCCCTGAATCAGACCGCCCTGGGTTCAAATCTTGGCCAGTCTTCTTCCTCGCTGTGTGACTGTGTGACTTTAGGCAAATAACTTCACCTCTCTGTGCCTCAGTTTCCCTGTCTATAAAACACAGGGCTACTACTCCCAGACCTGCCAGGCTACTGAGAGGAGGAAGGGACAAGCGTCTGGCAGACCCGACATGGATTGTTCACAAGGAAAGGTCCTCGTGCACTTGGGTCCCTCCCCTGCCTGTGGCCCTGAGCAGCCAGCTCCCCCATGCAGAGTTCTGCCAATGGGGCCCTAAGTCCACACAAAGGGTTCCCAGGCTCTCTGGCTAGAGCCCGGCTTGGTGAAGAGCCGCTGCTCTGGGTCTGCTGGTGACAGGCTGGCGTGCAGGTCCCGTGAGCGGCCAGGGAGCAGCTAGCGCCCCGCTAACCCACTGCAGTGATGTAGACGTCTTGCGTAAGGTCTGATACTTGACTCCTGTGGGCTCACTTTCATCACAGCTGTGCTAGCTTCCCGAGACCTCGGGGGGCGAGGCAGTTCCTGTGGGCTGACAAGTTAGAAGGTACCACTTTCTCTCCTACCTGCTCAGCCAGGTAGTTGGGCCCCAGAGGGCACCAGAAACTGGGGCTGGGAGTCTAAGGGGGTGGGGGCGGTGGGGAAGGGTATAACCATGTGACTCAGCCACCCTGACTTACGTCACCTCCCTTACCCTGAAAGTGCTGACCCCTTTCATGCGACAGGTGTAGGAGAGGTAAGAGCAGGTACTGCAGAGTCAGCCTGCCTGGGCTCAAAGGTGACTGCCACTCTGTGACCTGGGGCACGTCGCTTACTCAACCTCCCGGGGCCTCAGTCCCACCGTCTGTAAAACGGGGTGACAGTCGTACGCATCTCGAAGATAGGGGTGAGCGCCAGGAGACTGGAGCACGTGAAGCACTTTGAACCAGCCCGGTGCCCAGGAAGCACTGCCCGAGTACTGCTGTTGCTCTTACTGATGCTCATGTGAGTAACATTTGCGAGCACCTACTACGTGCTGGGTGCTCCTTTAGGCACTAGGGCATGGAGATAAAATCAGCCCTGCGTGCCTGTGGGTCAGCGGCAGAGACAAAGGGAATGGAAAGAGAAGGTGAGGCTGGGGTGGGGGGGTGGGGGGTAGGTTCCACCACGGGGTCAGCTGGAGGCACCTGGGGAAATCCAGGAAGCTTCTTGTAAGAGGTGGCGTCTGAGCAGAGCAGGAGGATAGGAGGAAGGTGGGTGCGGGCAAAGAGTAGCCCGGACAATAAGAACAGCAGATACAGAGGCCAGAGAAGGGCCGATCTGGAGTGATGGACACTTCGTTCCCTGGCAGGGGGCACCGGGCTGGGAATGGAGGGAGCGGTCCCTGGGAGCGGGGGAGGGGCTGACGAGCCACTTTCCTGTCCAGTTAATACCAGTCACCATCCAGGGCCCCCAGGCCCAAACTGGGCCTCGCAGCTGAAAAAATACAGGAGCCATCATTTCAGCACTGGGAGCTTTACGGGAAGTGAGAGGCTGCTCAGGGTGACGAGGCAGGGGTGGCCAGGAGCGGAGTGTCAGCACCAGAGTATCAGTATGAGCAGGGAGGAGGGGTTACATACAGGGGTGGGGGCGGGGGGGGGCTGATGAAATCAGTGAATACAGTGAGGGTGATGAGGGCCAGGTGCCTCACTGAAGGGGGAGGGACTGAGAGAAAAGCTGAATAAACCCTGGGGAGTTAGCGTGCAGACGGAAGAATCCCTGTGAGTTCATGGTTTTCAACACACGCAGTACAGAAACATCCCCGTGGGCGGGTGTGTACACACCGCGGCACGCACGCTTCCCGGCTCGCTCCATAGAGAGGGTCCAGGGACGGTGACGGACAGATCACGGACGCACCTGGCGCTGACACCTTGGCTTCTAAATTTCATTCTTGACTCAGAGGAATCAGCTTTTTGGAGAAATGGCTAATTCTAGGGCTGGGCCGGGAAAATACAAGATGATCTTGCAGCATCATTGTATGTCAGAAAGCAAGGAAGCACTCAAAGCAGGATGAGGACCCGTCAAAAGGACAAGCAGCCACTTAGAGGGGCCCCCTCCCCGGGCCGGGGAAGGACAATGTGGACCCCACTCAGTAGTCATGGTAAGAGATCTACCCCCCTGGCTAACACAGGAAGCCCACAATCCACACGGATAAAAAGAAATGAGTAAAAGCAGGCATCTGATGAGGCATTTCCATGCCTTCGCTAATTACAAAAGGAAAAAGAGTGACTTTCCCGGGGAGAAACTCAGCAGACATCACGGTGACCAAGGGATCGTCACCGGGAGGAGATGTGTCACGTGCCTCCTGATGGGACGTGCTGAGGAGGGCACACATCACTCCAAACGCACACCCTCAGGGGAATCATGGGAAAACCGCCAGCAAAGCCACGCGGACGGTCGTGTTTCAAAATGCCCGGCCAGCGCTTGTCCCAACGACCCAGGTCGGGAAGGCCGGCGAAGAGGAAGGGACCCTCTGAGATCGGAGGCAGTGGAACAGACGCCGCAAGCAAGCCCCGTGGGACGTCCCGAATCACAGAAAGGACGGCGGCGGGACCGCTGATGGGATCGGAGTTAGATCCGTAGATGAGTGTGTACAGAGGACCGCTCCCTTGCCTTTGATCACGGTGTCTAGTTACAGAAGACGCTAACATTTCAGGAAATTGGGCAAAGGGCACAGGGGAAGTCTCGGTATTATGTTTGCCAGTGTTTTGGCAAGTCTAAACATTATACCAAGATGAAAAGTTAAACGTGGTTTAATTCAATGACAAGTTAAAAAAATATTGTAAGGGCGAGATATCCCGTGAAAATCCCACCCAGCCCGCTCTCCTCCTTCCTGCCTGTCCCTGTAGGCATCTGAGTTTGAGGGGCTGGCTTAACTAACGTTTGCTGAGTCTCTCTCCTTGGTGTCCAGGACAGTGAGTCTCTGTGGGGGGTGGGCGGGGGGGGGGGGACCTGGTGAACAAGGGTCTGCGAGAGGAAGTCAGGCTCGGACCAGACTACAGGCGGCAGCGGCAAGCCAAGGAGGCGGACACCCCAGAAAGAGCAAATGGCGCGAAACCAAGGTCACTGCCGCCCCTTGCTAGGCTGCTCCTCACACGACCTTGAGTGTAATGTTCACAATGACCCTGGAGGGTGCTGATACCCCATCTGCCCAGGGAGAAGACCGAGTTTAGCTAGAAGCCACTTGCTCCAAGTCGTCACGTCTGTGATTAGCAAAGCTGGGATTCAACCCCAAGTCCAAGTCCGTAGGCCGTGGTCCTTCCACCACCCTGTATTTGCAGGAATCAGTTTAGAGCTCAATTATTGGTCAACTGAAGTCTCGAGGTTTTGTTTATTTCTTTCTGAAGACGCTGCCTCAGATCGCGTGGAATCTCCTGGAAGACAGGGACCAGTTCAAAACACAATCGCTCGTCCAACAGATAGTCACTAGGCACCTACCGGCAGTGCCCTCGATGGTGGAGAAACGAAAGCAGACAAGGCAGACCCGGCCCCTGCCCTCACGCCTTGGGGTCCCTGCTCAGGGCCACTGCAACAGAACATTTTCTAACAATAATCCCATTCCCACGCTACAAAATCCAAGCTGGGGAGCGGTCGCAGGGTAAAGGGAGAGCTGAGAAAGACCCTGGGTTCACAGCTGACCACAAGCCGGGTGAGTCAGCGGTGAATGTCACTGAGAAACTGGGCCACAGGGAAGAGGGTGAGAACCCAGGCATGTGACAGACCAGGAAGTGAGCCGTCCCCCTGGGCCCCCACCAGTCAGCCCCTCGCCGTGGTGACCACTCACTGTCACAAGAATGTGGGAGAAAGGACACGGAGAACGGGGGCGGGGGAAGGGATGCTTACTGAGTGTGCACCTAGCCTGTGCCAGGCCCACGGGAGGCCCCAGCCAGCACATGCCTGTCCAGTCATCGTGGCCAACCCACGAGGCAGGGACTGTGAACCCACTTTGGAGAGGAGGCTCAGGGAGCCGGGGGGTCTGGCTAAGCTCGCGCACCTATGAGGCAGCGCTGCGAGGACCGGAATCCAGCCCTAGCTTACGTTCTTGCTGCTTTCCCCAACGATGCGGGACAAAGCAGGGCCACCTGGGCGGAAAACACTTCTTGGGAAGAAAGGTTAAAGAGCTGGAACGGCTTGGCCTCGAACAGGGAAAGCTAAAGGATGGGCTTTCGACGGCTGACAAATAAAAAATGCCCGTC